CTCGCTGCCCGCGGGCAAAAAATATATAACCCATTCGCATGCATCCGATCAGGGAGGCATCAACCCTAAATGCAGGGAGGCATGTGTTACACATGATGCCCATTTCAGTCCCCTTCCCCATCTTTCCATGTGCTCCTCTCTTGAGCGTGCGTTCACTAGGGGCAGAATGGGACTGAATGTAGAAGAAAGGTTGACAAAAAAACTACAGTTGCGGAAACTGTGGGTAGCCCAGCATGTTTTGTCTCGGAAACTCGAACATCTTGGTTTTGTCGTGGGCTAGTAACGCGCGGGCCGTTGGCTGTGAATGTCGACCACTGGGCGTATGGAGTGGCAGAAGACGTGTTCAGAGTGGGCGGTTGAGTGAGCATTAGGGTGTACCTCGGATGGCATGCCACCCAAATCAGCCACATGCGACCACACCCGCCAGTTCCCCTGCCTCCGAACCCACCGCCCTTCCTAGAAAGAATGAACATCGTGAGCTCCACCAGTCGAGGTCCTACCAGTCGAGCTCCTACCAGCCAAGCGCCTACCAGTCGAGCACCTACCAGTCGAGCGCCTTCCAGTCACCACTCGAGCTCCACCAGTCGAACGCCAGTCGAGCTCCACCACTCGAGCTCCTACCAGGCGAGCTCCTACCAGGCGAGCTCCTACCAGTCGAGCTCCTACCAGTCGAGCTCCTACCAGTCGAGCTCCTACCAGTCGAGCTCCTACCAGTCGAGCTCCTACCAGTCGAGCTCCTACCTTGCTACCACTTTGTTTGCCTATCCCGTGACCTGCCAAACTCTCCTTTTGTCCGCACGCCGCCGCCTATCGATAATGCGATTTCCCGGGCGTGCCGCTGCACGCTCTAGTAATGCCAGAGCTTGCGTTCTCTTCGCAGCCCTCATGCTGACTGTCGGCGCTGCTGCTTGCTCGCTTTCCAGCGCTACTAGTACTAATCTCCAACCGCCGCGTCGAGATTCCCCACGCCAGTCCAAACAGCGCGCCCTGCTGTCTCGCGCGCGACCCAGCCGCGCCCGACACTCGCAATTAGTAAAGCTCGCCGCTGGCGGCGGCGCTGCGGCGGCCGACGCGAGCGCCGCTGCTAGGCCCGTCGTTCTCGAAAACTCGCAACGTGAGTCGGTTTGTCCAGTTCAGGCTCTCAGCGTGCTTCCTCAGGATGATTCTCCCATTTCGAATGGGAGTCCGGAGTCCGCAACTCAGACCATCGCGGACAAGGGATTGCGAGATTGTTTCCAAAAACTTGCAGAAAAGTAACTTTTAAGATTGCTCCCGCAATTTTCAAGTCAAGGTCGAAAGCATCGGAAAGTTGGGTTGAGTTTACGGCAACTTTTCCGACACATTTCAGACACATCTCCGATGCAAAGCGGACACCTGAACGCAACATAACGTATACTTGATTGTCACTTCAATGTAACCTTCTGGCATGCCACGTGGCACAACATCCGAAAATTGACGGGTTTGAAAACTAACTTTTCAGGCCCGAAAACTAACTGGAGCAGAAGTTACTGGCCAACTTGGTTTTTGACGCGACTCACTGAAGGTCGCAAGCTGCGATTTCCCAAATTCTGGGAACCAATCGAGGTAAAATCGAATTAGGCTCGGCAACGCATTTGATTCGTTTACGCCAGGGGCTCGCGCGTCGAGATTGAGCGTCGAAATTTCCCGCTCATCTCATCAGCTAATGGCATTGTTCCGCGTCTTGTTTTTGGATTGGTTTCTAATTCTGACAACCGCGCAATCTCACTCTATATTGTACATAAGGCTTCGGATGGTGTTGTTTTCAGTTCGTTAAACATGCAATGCACTTTCAGGAATTTGTGATTATACTGTTTGATTAATTTATATAACAAAGACAGCTGAGCAGCAGCAGCAACAGCAGCAGCAGTGATAAGCAGCAGCAGTAGCAAGCAAGCAGTGACGGCAGCAGCAGCAGTGGCAAGCAAGCAGTGACGGCAGCAGCAGCAGTGGCAAGCAAGCAGTGACGGCAGCAGCAGCAGTGGCAAGCAAGCAGTGACGGCAGCAGCAGCAGTGGCAAGCAAGCAGTGACGGCAGCAGCAGCAGTAGCAAGCAAGCAGTGACGGCAGCAGCAGCAGTGGCAAGCAAGCAGTGACGGCAGCAGCAGCAGTGGCAAGCAAGCAGTGACGGCAGCAGCAGCAGTGGCAAGCAAGCAGTGACGGCAGCAGCAGCAGTGGCAAGCAAGCAGTGACGGCAGCAGCAGCAGTAGCAAGCAAGCAGTGACGGCAGCAGCAGCAGTGGCAAGCAAGCAGTGACGGCAGCAGCAGCAGTGGCAAGCAAGCAGTGACGGCAGCAGCAGCAGTGGCAAGCAAGCAGTGACGGCAGCAGCAGCAGTGGCAAGCAAGCAGTGACGGCAGCAGCAGCAGTGGCAAGCAAGCAGTGACGGCAGCAGCAGCAGTAGCAAGCAAGCAGTGACGGCAGCAGCAGCAGTAGCAAGCAAGCAGTGACGGCAGCAGCAGCAGTGGCAAGCAAGCAGTGACGGCCGCCTTGACTGCACGTCTTGCATTCTCCTCCTCCATCCGCTTCCGGAACCTGTCAATAAGATCTGTGGAAAACCCTCTGGTTGCGGTGCGAAGGCGTGACAATGAGAGCTCGGGGAGATGGGCTGATTAGTGGGGGAGGAAGGGGAGGGGTAGATGGAGAGGAAGGTAAATATTCAGAACGCCTCGTCCGACTAGTAGCTGCCCAAAGTGTGACACTGAGAGCTTGTCAGATGGGCTGATAGGGTTGAAGGGCATAGGCAAAGTGAGGTGGGGGGAACACGGAATTGGAGGAAGTGGGGAGAGGGGAGAGGGGGAAGAGAAGTAGTGGGGGTGGTGGGGGTGAGGGCAGAGGGCATATGCCAAGGGAGAGTCACAAATGCTTCAGTTTCCTATCAGCACTACCCTTTTCTCATGAAGCCTGATCACAAGCTACCACCTCCTCACTGTCCACTTACCCCATGCAGCCAAAAAGCCAAAAGCTTCAGCGGGAGGACTATTTGGCTCGTTGTAGGCCGAGTAAAGGACGCCGTGACTGCATCCACGAAGACTTCACTACTAAACGGCAATTTCCCATTCTCCTCCTTATGCCATGAGGTCATGGAGAACGTTGCCGTGCCTGCCATAGGTGTGCCAGCCAGAAAAAAGGATGCGGGGTGCATAGGGCGGGGATGAAACGTGTGTACCGGCTGGTCGAACACGTGAAGTTGGCATGAGGTCATGTGTGCAGGACGAATACATGGGGGAAAGTTTTCTGAAGATTGGCATAGGGCATTGGTTGGAGAATAGATGGCGATGCCTTCAGAAGTGCAAACGATGTACAGTGTCGCAAGCCATAAGACAAGAATGGGCAGGTAGGGGCAGGGGGGGGGGGGGCAGGGGGGAGAGGGGATGGGGAGATACGCCACCATCACGTGTAAGATCGGTAGAAAACTTCACATGGTGCCAAGGGAAGAATAAGTGTAGAGGGAGTACAGAAACACACATGGAAGGCATGAGCTACAAACACAACCCAAAGAAATTCCATACGTACTTGCGCTGAATTGTGCAAGGAAAGCCTCACGAGTAAGGCTTCCCTTCTCCTCCCGTCCTGGTGTAGGCCGGTTGACCAGAAGATCGAAGCTTTCGTACACGCTCCGCCGGCCCTTGGTAAGCACCTGGTTTCGCCACTTTGCGACACGGGCGCGTAGGGCCTTTCGAAAGTTCTTGTCAAGTTCGAACACCAAGGCCAGGTGTGTCCGCTGCTGATCAGTTGTCCACTCTAGGGCCGTAAACACTGCATCCAGCAACTTCTCATTTGAAGGCCACATGTTGAAGTCAGCGTGGTTTGTTTGGAAGAACAAGATGTCGCACGCCTTCTTCATGTAGTCCTGGCAAGGGGAAACGGGAAGGAGTAATGGCAAGGGTGATCGATGGAAAGTTATAGCTTAAGGTTGAAAAACAGTTAGCATGGCAGTAAGTGACAAGACATGCAGCCATAATCAAACCACTCCAACAATGTAGCAACACAAAGAACGTGGCAGGACAATTTGAATGATAAAGGGGAGAACTGCATGAAACTTACTGTGATGGAAGCGTCATCATCAGGAACGGCGTTGAATGCCCGTATTACACTGGCAGCCCAGGACCTCTGGTTCGGAGTGAGTGTCTCGAAATCCACAACTCCGCCATGACGGTACTCTCGCGCAACCTCTCTCTGAAACGCACGCTGCGACCTCGGCCACGATCTCCGTCGTTGAGGCATAACAGCAGGGGCTGCAACGCTGTTATCCCTCACATGTTGGAGCCCATGACGTTGCTCTGCCCCACCGCCATTGTTAGTATTGCGCCGCTGCAGCTGCGCTTTCAACTCCAAAATCTCCCTTGCCAACTCACGGTTGCGCGCACATTCCGCGTCGTAGAGAGCTCGTGGCACCGTGTCCGTGGCTGGACGGCTCACACGAGCATCACGAGCTCTCTGGGCAGATTGCTGTCCAGCGGCATGCGCTTGTTGTGGTGCAGCAATTGGGGTAGAAGATGGCACATGAGCAGCGGCGGGTATGTGGGTGGGTCCAACGGATGGCATAGGGGCTGGATGGTGCGATGATGAGGGCAACGGGGAAGCGGAGAAATGTTGGAAAGCTGTGGGCAACGAGGATGAGGGTGGCTGGCCACTTGATGGCTGCTGGGAAGAGCTGGGTGGGGCAGAGGAATTGGGTGGCTGTAGGTTAGGCTCTAAGCCGGCCTCCGCTTCGGTGTTGCTGTTGCGCGCAAGAGGTGCTGGAGTGTCGATAAAATCATCACTGTCCCAGTCACTCTCTTCTGATTCCGAATCACAGAAAGAATCCCCTTCGGATAACTCATCATCATCAAATGAAACAGGTCCTTCTTGGCAATTTACACCCACAGTGTGATTGTCGTTGACTGCCTCCACATGCATCCCAGGGATGCGAAGCAGGCCTGTAGCAGCACTGGACGAGCCTTGCATAAAGCTTGGCAAAGGCTGGAAAGGTAAGGGCTGGGATGGGAAGGTCTGAGAATGCACGGGCTGAGAAGGCAAGGTCTGAGAATGCACGGGCTGAGAAGGCAAGGTCTGAGAATGCACGGGCTGAGAAGGCAAGGCCTGAGAATGCACGGGCTGAGAAGGCAAGGTCTGAGAATGCATGGGCTGAGAAGGCAAGGTCTGAGAATGCACGGGCTGAGAAGGCAAGGCCTGAGAATGCACGGGCTGAGAAGGCAAGGCCTGAGAATGCACGGGCTGAGAAGGCAAGGCCTGAGAATGCACGGGCTGAGAAGGCAAGGCCTGAGAATGCACGGGCTGAGAAGGCAAGGTCTGAGAATGCACGGGCTGAGAAGGCAAGGCCTGAGAATGCACGGGCTGAGAAGGCAAGGCCTGGGAATGCACGGGCTGGGATGGCAAGGTCTGAGAATGCACGGGCTGAGAAAAAAAGGTCTGAGAATGCACGGGCTGAGAAGGCAAGGCCTGAGAATGCACGGGCTGAGAAGGCAAGGCCTGAGAATGCACGGGCTGAGAAGGCAAGGTCTGAGAATGCACGGGCTCAGAAGGCAAGGCCTGAGAATGCACGGGCTGAGAAGGCAAGGCCTGCGAAGGCACGGGCTGTGAAGGCAAGGCCTGAGAATGCACGGGCTGAGAAGGCAAGGCCTGAGAATGCACGGGCTGAGAAGGCAAGGCCTGGGAATGCACGGGCTCAGAAGGCAAGGCCTGAGAATGCACGGGCTGAGAAGGCAAGGCCTGAGAATGCACGGGCTGAGAAGGCAAGGCCTGCGAATGCACGGGCTGGGATGGCAAGGTCTGAGAATGCACGGGCTGAGAAGGCAAGGCCTGAGAATGCACGGGCTGAGAAGGCAAGGTCTGAGAATGCACGGGCTGAGAAGGCAAGGCCTGAGAATGCAAGGCCTGAGAAGGCAAGGTCTGAGAATGCACGGGCTGAGAATGCAAGGCCTGAGAATGCACGGGCTGAGAAGGCAAGGCCTGAGAATGCACGGGCTGAGAAGGCAAGGCCTGAGAATGCACGGGCTGAGAAGGCAAGGCCTGAGAATGCACGGGCTGAGAAGGCAAGGTCTGAGAATGCACGGGCTGAGAAGGCAAGGCCTGAGAATGCACGGGCTGAGAAGGCAAGGCCTGCGGATGCACGGGCTGGGATGGCAAGGTCTGAGAATGCACGGGCTGAGAAGGCAAGGTCTGAGAATGCACGGGCTGAGAAGGCAAGGTCTGAGAATGCACGGGCTGAGAAGGCAAGGCCTGAGAATGCAAGGCCTGAGAAGGCAAGGTCTGAGAATGCACGGGCTGAGAAGGCAAGGCCTGAGAATGCACGGGCTGAGAAGGCAAGGCCTGAGAATGCACGGGCTGAGAAGGCAAGGCCTGAGAATGCACGGGCTGAGAAGGCAAGGCCTGAGAATGCACGGGCTGAGAAGGCAAGGCCTGAGAATGCACGGGCTGAGAAGGCAAGGCCTGAGAATGCACGGGCTGAGAAGGCAAGGCATGAGAATGCACGGGCTGAGAAGGCAAGGCCTGCGAATGCACGGGCTGGGATGGCAAGGTCTGAGAATGCACGGGCTGAGAAGGCAAGGCCTGAGAATGCACGGGCTGAGAATGCAAGGCCTGAGAATGCACGGGCTGAGAAGGCAAGGCCTGAGAATGCACGGGCTGAGAAGGCAAGGCCTGAGAATGCACGGGCTGAGAAGGCAAGGCCTGAGAATGCACGGGCGGAGAAGGCAAGGTCTGAGAATGCACGGGCTGAGAAGGCAAGGCCTGAGAATGCACGGGCTGAGAAGGCAAGGCCTGCGAATGCACGGGCTGGGATGGCAAGGTCTGAGAATGCACGGGCTGAGAAGGCAAGGTCTGAGAATGCACGGGCTGAGAAGGCAAGGTCTGAGAATGCACGGGCTGAGAAGGCAAGGCCTGAGAATGCAAGGCCTGAGAAGGCAAGGTCTGAGAATGCACGGGCTGAGAAGGCAAGGCCTGAGAATGCACGGGCTGAGAAGGCAAGGCCTGAGAATGCACGGGCTGAGAAGGCAAGGCCTGAGAATGCACGGGCTGAGAAGGCAAGGCCTGAGAATGCACGGGCTGAGAAGGCAAGGCCTGATAAGGCAACTGATGGGAAGCTTGGGATTGGGAAATCAAGAGCTGCGAAGATAAGAGCGGGGAACGTGAGGGCTGCGAGGATACGGGCTGGGAAGGCATGTGCGGGGAAGGTAAGGCTGATGGTGACGACATGGCTTCGATTCCGTTTTGAAGGACGGAATTTGGACTATGGGGTAAGGTACCGTTTGGATTAGCAGGGTCGACCGATGCTGGATTAGGATCTTCGGTGGTCACATTGTGCGCGACATCCCCACCTTCGACATGGCCAAGATGGTTGCTCCCAGTATCAGCGCATGCATTGACCGTCTCATTCACTAGTGCAGAGGTTTTCCGTTTTGGCGGCGGGATCGGGCGCTGGACGGGTGCAGACCGAGATAGAGTTGTCAACGAGCGGAACCTATGTTCTGTTAACATATGATACACACGCAAAAGAATATGCAAGTGATGCGGAATGAAGACATGCTTGTCACTACAAACTGAAACTCAGGGTCAGTGGTTTTGCAGGTACACACGAACCTGGTGCTGTTCAATGCTCACCATCGTCGACGGGGGTGGGAGAAGAGGAGCCAACGTTAGGGTTTGACTTCCCCGACGCCTTCTTCCCGGACGCCTTCTTTCGCGACCCCTTCTTCCCCGGCGCCTCCAAGCCCGACGCCTCCAATCCCGACGCCTCCTTCCCTCCTTTTTTGCGTTTTTCACCACGCGTTCGTGGCGCACGAGCCGTTGGAGCGGTGTGGCTTGTTGGTCTATCTGCCGCAACATAATTCCCATCAGCGAAGGCAGCGACTACGGACATGGCTACGTTGTCACCTGACTCACTACAGGTGACAAAGGCTCGGGAAAAGGGCGTGCAATGTGTCCTACGATGTATGTGCTCTGGAACAATGGAAGTGTTCTCGTTGGAAACACTGTGGCTACGTGCAATCGATGGTTGCCTGACGATCCAAAACGGTTGCCGTGGCTTGATGGTGACGACAACACAAATTTACGAAAGCTACAAACACACTAAGGAAAGTGGAGCAGAGATGTCTATCTACCCAGCTGAGGATGCAATGCAACGTGTAGCGAGGAAAAAATGGGTTTGTACGGGGAACAAGGTAGCTGCGCTAGGGGAGGGCGCACTGGAGTTGGGAAAAAAACGGACGCACCAGATCTCACAATCGCTTCTTAACTACTGATCGACGACACAGATTGCCAGGAAAGCCACGGCAGATCTCGTGCAAACCGCGAAACCGTTGGATAGTTATGCCAAACGTAATCTTACGGCTAAAACTTAAGTGTTTGGGGCTGTTGATGATGTTGGGAGCACTGGACGTTTCAGATCCATCGACACTTCCTAATCGTACAAAATGATTGGCTGTAGAAGGTTTTCCATGTGCAGCACATTAGCCCAGCAGAAGGTGTCTCATCACGTGCAACCCGCGTAGCCAATGATACCATACTGCCAGCCATAATCGTACGGCCAACCCTTAGTCGAAAATATACCAGACATAGCGTGTTTCTCTATACAGAACGGCGCTCCTTAGCGATAATTTCAAACACTTACGCTTCTTCAAAATCAAACTTGTTCCCTTTTGAAAATCAACATACTGTAGAAACCTCACTACCCGTCACCCCGCATACATCGTAGTACTCTGCTAGGCGGAAATTCCAATCCCGTGGACACCTAGTGATACTCGTATTGATCATGGTTTTTGACATCGCACTCGATAAGCGGATCAGTCATTGCTTTCTTCAACAGTGCTCACATGGCAATGATGCTGGCGATGGTGGGGTCAGAATTGTGCATGTGGTCTGCAGCCACCACGCTTGCTAAGAGGTCCGGGATGGATGTGCCCGTCATCAGCTGCATTATGGCTACAACAAACGAGAGCGCCTGTTATCTAGATCGCCGGCATGGTCGGCATCGACATAGCCGATTAGCTTCGTTGACGCAGCTTCGTTCTTGTAATAAGTCAGGCCAATCGTCAGTGTGCTCACGAGATAGTGCAGTGCGCGATCGAGCTCTGCCAGGTGATCTACTTCAGGCCTCTTGAGATAAGTAGCGAGCTGGCTAGCGGAGTAGGACAGGTCTGGGCGACAGGTGACGGCTGCGAAGAGTAGACAGCCCAGTTTTCGCTGATAGTCGCGTATTCCGGCAGCTTTGAGTAGGGCGGAGTTTCCTTGGCCGTTTCCTGCCGTGTAGCGGTATGGTGTGGCGATAGCGGTGGGTGTGAGCGAGAAGCGCTTGGCGATCGTGTCGGCGTATTTCTCGGCGCTTAGATAGATTGGGTTTTCTTCTTCGCGGATGTTGAGCCCGAGGTGCTGCGTAACGGTAGAAGAAACCGTGAGCGTGAGGTCTTTCTGCAGCTCCCCTTCGAACCAGGTGGTGACGTCGCCGGTGGAACCGATGTAGAGGAGATCGTCGACGTAGACGATGAGTAGGATGTAGTTGGCGTCTTTAGTGAGTTGGTACATGCCCTGGTCATGGGACAGTTGGCGGAATCCGATGCGGATGAGGCGAGTGTGTAAGTGCTGTTGCCACAGCCGTGGGGCCTGTTTGATTCCGTAGAGGGATTTTAACAGTTGGCAGACTTGATTGGGTTCCCCGTGGGTACCGTGAGGTAGCTCGACGAAGATGTCGGCGTCGACAGGGCGTAGAGGAAGGCGTTGGCGACATCAATTTGTCGCAGCTTTTTCTTCTTCATGGCGGCAACGGCGAGAAGAATTCGGAGTGAGGTATGTCGACTAATTGGGGCGAATGTCTCGGTGAAGTCTCGCCCTTGTTCCTGGTCGAATCCTCGCACGACCCATCGTGCCTTGAACTTCTCGATTGCACCATCTACTTTCGTTTTGATGCGGAAGACCCACTTCCCGGTGAGAATGGTCTTGTTCCTTGCCAGCAGTACGGGAGAGGTCCGGCTTCTTCCGATGCGTTGTCAACGTTCTGTTCATCCCAGTCTGCTTCGTCCGCTGCTGACGCGAAGGCTCGGTCACCACGAAAGCCACCTGTGAGGTCCCGATTCTCGTGCAAGTTGGCGAGGTACGTTTGAAGGGTGAGTCGCTCGTAGAAGATTACATCACGTGCTGCCACTGTTTCTTTTGTGTGGACGTCGAAGGTTATCCACGCGTTTTAACTTTTCTCGACGCCGAGGTGTAGTCCCCACTGTGCCCGTTGCGAAAATCTCCCACCTCGTGCTTCTGGGGGTTGCTGTACCATGCACCCGAAAACTCGTAACATTTTTGTGCTGCCCTGCTTCCCTGTCCACAGCAGATGCGGTGATGCGTTGTTCGGGAGTGACGACGTCGACAGCAAATTGTGCAGCATGACAGCATGGTCCATTGCTGCTGGCCACTGGTGGTTGGGTAGCCGCATGCCACGTAACAGTTTGCGCATGCTGTTCTGCAGAGTCCTGTTCATTCTTTCTGCAACACCTTGCTGCTGATGTGCGTAGGGAAGGGAGAGGAGTTGCTTGATCCCCCTTTCCGACAGGAACTGCTTGTACTCGCCACCTCCGTCTGACTGGAAGCTTTTCAGCTGCGTTCCCGATTCCCTCTCTGCTATCGGTAGCCAGGCGGCGAATGCTGCGAGTGCCATGTCGCGGCTGGGTAGGTTGCGATGCCAGACGTATCGAGTGGCGGCGTCGATGAATGTGATGGTGTAGTTGTAGGTGACTTGTCCTGGTTCGCGATTGTAGAGGATGTCGCTAAAAACCTTTTCGAGTGGTCCGTACGCTGGTGCGCTTGGGTTGTGATGTGGAGCGAACGGTCGATGAGGTAAGTCAGCTTCAGGGCAGGTAAGGCAAGTCCCTCGTGCCTTTTGGAGTTCTCTGCCGTCGGGTAGTAGTAGGGAGTCTTTGTCAAGAACTCCTGCTCTTATCCAGTTATTTAAGACCGTGTTGCTTGGATGTCCTGTGCGTGCGTGCCAGATATCTTCAGAGGCGCGGTGTCCGGGTGAACGTTGGTATGCGTCGGAGTTGGAGTAAAAACTGGCGACGAAGTTGGCGCTTCGGTGGACTTCACGTTGAGTCGGATTCAGCTGTTGTGCGGGTGTTGGTGGTGCTTCGTCGACTGTGACTGGTGTCATTGTTCATGCTGCTGCTGATGTTGTCTCTTCTGCTGCCGATGTTGTCTCTGCTTCTGCCGATGTTGCTGCCGAAGTTGTTGCTGCTGCCGATGTTGTTGCTGCTGCCGATGTTGTCTCTGCTGCTGTCGTTTGTTGAATTGTCTATAACGCTCGTGTTCGTTCTGCTTCAGGGATAGTGTGGGAGTACCAGAAACCTCCCGGGCCGAAGTCGGGATCGAGATCCGGAGGGTGTGTCCAGTCAGTAAAGTTCACGATGGCGTCGCTGTCTGCAGTGCCCAGGTCGGGAGCGAAGCCGAGAACGAAGACGTTGTTCTTCAACACTGATCTCCCGATGTAGAGACCGCCTCTCCCATGGTATAGCTTGAACTCTTGGGTGGTGCTGTCGGCTTCCAAGTGAATCCCCTTCGCCATCAGTTGGCTAACACTCAGTAAGTTGTAACCGAGTCCTTCAGCGATGAGTACCTTTGACATGTGTAGTATGACGTTAGTTTCTCTTGATTGAAGTTGAACGACTCCTTGTCGTCTTGTGCGCAGGTTCTGGTTGTTGGGGACCGTGATGACTACTTCTCGTTGGAGTCGATGTTCGCGCTGTACGAAGCGCCCGGACGAGCACATGTGTTGCCCGCAGCAACTATCCAAGAACCAAGTGTCTTGGCCGGACGGTTCACTTTGAGCGATGGCGGCGTAAGTCGGATTCGGTTGGAGTGATTCGCGGCGAGGCGTCCTGTTGTCGAGCTCTTCTTCTGGTGAGTAGTGGGGTGGTGACTCTGTTGTGCAAGAATCGCTTATCTTCACCATGCAGTTGACTATGTTTCTTGCTCCTTGTGCAGGTTGTCCAGTTGAAGTCGTTGAAGCTTGGATCGTGGTTGTCGGACTTGCTTGCGTTGAAGCAACTTGGGAGCTTGAAGGCCGCAGTTGTCGCTGTGGTGTCGTCTGACGGGACGGGCAATGCGTGCGAGGATGGCCCGAGGTTTTGCAAATGTGGCAGAACGGAGGTACCGTTTTCCATTGCTGTTGTCGATTGTTGTTGCCGTTGTGTCGTCGGTGAGTGTGAAAAGCAAATTCTGGTGCTAAAGCTTTCTTCTAGTGTCTTTCTTCTTGCAGGTCCATGTCCTGCTGCTCAGCATGAATTTCGGCGCAGAGTGCCGCTACGGATATCCTCCCGTGTGCTCGTAATATGGCCCGAGTGGAGCGCCAGTGGGGGCCGAGACCGCCGATGACCACCGTGACAAAGGCGTCTTCTGAAATTGACCCGCCGCATCGAACAAGCTTGTCGCGCAGTTCGCGGCAGCGGCTGATATAAGCCATGCCTTTCTCGCCTGGTTTCATTTCAATCATTGTCAACTGCGCCATTAACCTGCTTTGGTTTACGCTGTCTGTTGCTTGATACAAGTTCTTCAGGTGGTTGTACGCGAGCTCCGCGGAGTTGCCGTAGCCTCGGTAAGTCCTGATGTTCTGCTGCTGGGTTGGGGTGATGTTCCTCAGCAGAATCGTGTACGCCATCATTGACTGATATGTATATTGATGCTTCTCATATTGTGTCCCGTTTGTTGGGTATGGCAGGGATCCGTTGAAGAAGCCGAGAATCTGTGCTCCTTCCATCATCAGTTCAAACTCGAACGACCAGGTGAAGAAATCTTTGCCGTCGAAAGGCTTTGTCGTTTGCAGTTTTAGGACGTGCGCGAATTGCGATTGGAC